CGGAGAACGAGTTCCTGACCGGTCCTATAACGATGGACGTACCTTCGCCCCCGAGCGGCCACTCCCGCGTCGCCGCCCCGTTCCTTCCCAGCTCCGACGTAACGACTTCTTCGACCGTCTTGCCCACGACCTCGCATTCGGGAACTCAACTCCCTTCGACAGCGCGTGGGTCGTCGATGGAGAGGTCTTCGTTGAGGGTGGTGACTACGATCAACCCGAGCCTGTTGATCGCGAGCCCGGTCCCGAGTCGCAGCGCGGTCGTCCTCGTCGGCGGGCCTCCCGAGGCGCCGGACAGCGCGGACGTAGCACGACCCGGCGTGGCCTCGGGCGAGGCCAACACTTCGGGTTCGGGGGTGCTTCATACGGCTCTAGCGGGTACACCCGCTACTGAAGGCGTCGCGATCGCTGGTAGCACGTTCGTGTCTACGGACAAGTGCACCGGTGTCTTCGACGACCTCACCATTAGCCCCATCACGGACTACTCTGACGTTTAGATGATTTGCTTACCATTCTCGAGTTTCCTGTCTCCTTCTCGTGTTCGCTCTTGATAGCCGTCGTAGTAGACTATCGCTCGACGATGCTTACGATAGTCGGAGGGCGTATGAGACGTGCGCTCTTCCGGATCGGCTAGATCAGTCCCCGTGCGCGTTGGCGCCGGTCACCTGATCGCCACGACTCCCCTTCCTCTTCCGTCTCCTCGTCTCGGTCCCGCTGTATCCTCCACGTCTCCCCTCGTATCATTGACTCGGACTACCCTACGTATATATAGTAGTACAGGTGTAGGGCGAAAGCCCCAGTGTTCCGAAGATAACAGACCTTATCCCTGTCTTCCCCTTCGTGACCTCTTCCCCCGTGTCGCACCACCGGCCCGATTGGACCGCGAGCGCGACACCGCCTGACTCCGCCCAGCCGAAACTTGCTACTACGGACGACTTTGCGCTGTCCCTTTTCATTCTTTTTCTTACCTCTTATTCAAACATGGCAGCACCCAGCTGAACAGCCCACACAAAGCGTATGACCTCCGCATCCCCGCGAACTGCTTCGTCAAGTCCCTTAAGGATGACCTTAACTTCAAGCTTCACCTGTGCGATCACCCGCCTCCACTCAGGCGCGGCCAGAGGTCCGCGCAATCTGCAAATTCCACGCGTGCACGAGGATCAAGGGCCTAGTTGCCATCGCCGGGCTTGATTTGTATGACATCGACGAGCGCCGAGGCCGTGGAGTCGCCGGCTCTGCGAGCCTTCCCGAGCTCGACTAGGTAATCGCTGCAGCTCGTCATGCAGGCACGGTCAACTGTCCGCTGAGCGCGCTGTAAACGGTGCCGTTATCGGAGAACAACAGGCCGACCTTACTTCGCCTGCCTGTACCGGCACCTGAAGCCCATGCGTGAACGATGCCTTTACCTAGCGCTCCTCCGCCATGCCGTCTGTGAGACCAGCACGGATATTCTCCTTCGTTGCTCAAATTTTCTATCTATTTCATAGATAGGTCCTCGCATCCCACGTCCGGCTCACCCCGAGGCACTGTCACCATCTCCAGCCTCTGCTCGATCCAGAACGTCCCCTCCTGCTCCACCACCACCCGCCCCGTCTGCACCTTCATAACGAGCGTCGAGTTCGGCGTTGGCGGCAAGTTCTCCCCGTCGTCCACGTACGCCGTCCTGAAAGCGTACCCATTCATGGTCTGCGCAACGACAAACTCATAGGGTCACGCTTGCATGTACGCGGACGCCATGTGCAGCAGGGTGCCGCGCGGTCGCAGAGGTACATGGGGATGCGATGATGTTGGCCGTGATGGATGCGATGAGGAGTCCCTGCGTATAGCAGTCGCAAAAGATTGATCGGCTTTTGTAGAGGAATAAACATGTGGCGCGCGCACGGGTTTAAGCAGCAACGGTACTAGATAGGAAGGACGTACCGTCGACGGTGGAGACGTTTGGCGCTAGTATGAGGGCAACAAGGACGTCGTGGCTGATGAGAAACTGGCGGTCGAAGGAGAAGAGCTCGGGCTCGTCCGGGAACTCCAAGAACAGCGCGTGGATGGGTGGCGTTCAGTGCATCGAGGCATCCACAAACTGCGTGTACTGCGCGATCATCAAAACAACGAAGGAAGGAACTTACAAACCAACTCACCCAGTACCGAGGTATGCTATACCGAGTCGCGATTGCCGTGCGCGACGCGTTCGCAACGGAATGCCACCGCAGCGACCCACTTGCAAGGGTGCTCTCCATCCAGTCCTCGGGGAACAACAGGGAAACAGCCAGGCCCATCGCCGTCGCTTGGTATTCATGCGTGAACGACGTCTTGAAGTCGCGCCGATAAGCTGGTTGTCGTTGCGAAGCGTGGCGAGCAAAAAGCAAAACCCTGGCTTATGGCGAGAAGCCACATCTCTGAAGCAGATGCGTCAAGAGCGAGCGACTGCTGATAGTGTCGTCACGCGGAGAACGAGCGAACGAAAACGGAGAGCCGGAGAGAAGCGATGGCTCGAGAGGAGATGCGCGCAGGTCGCCGAGGATCTGGGTGTTAGGACCGCTAGGGGTAGTACAGCACCTGGTGGCGGCGGCGCCGGCTTCTGTCAGCCACTGGAGGACGACGATGCGGCGGACCTCGGTCCGGGAAGCATTCGAGTTGAGCGCGAGGTGACAAATTTCTTAGGCCCGATTAAGCGCCCCCACAGATTCTGACGTGACGCGCGTCCTGGCCAACAGAGCATCTGCTCCCCACCTTCCCTCACAGAAGACCATACCTCCCATGGATTCTACGTGGATGACGGGACGACTCAGCCGTCTGAGAGGCCGGTCCCCACCTTGTGCTCAGAAAGCCCACGGTGAGTGCTTCTTTTGTCATTTCCGTTTACAAGCCACAAGGATGCCGCTTGCTGTTGTTGCTTGTCTTTTCGGGACTTGTGCTCTCCATCTCACGGTTTCCATCTCGCTCGGGTGCCACCACTCCGATCCTTCCTTGGCCGGTGTGATATATTGGGCCCAGCCACGCGTTCTGTACACAGGTGGTAATGTACTACATCAGTGGCTACGTCTGACCAGGCTTGATCCGACTGAACTCGATGCGTTCTGTGAGTACAGAACCCTTTGGAGAAAAAAACAAGGGTGAGGGAATGATACATTCCGGTTGCGACGCTGCTTGTGACAGCGTAAGCAGCTCTCCGTTGTCGTTAAAGTGATCATCCTGGTGTCTCGAAGCACACACCTCAGAACCACCGCCGAGAGCTCACGTACCTGCCCGAACTCCATTACCGCATGATCGCATGCGAGCCCGTCATATCCGGCAATAGACTGTCGCGTTCTGTTTCAGGCAGATGGCGAACACCATTCGCCACCGCCACCGCACGACTCTTGAGCACAGACGCTATCATGCCCTCTCGCCACCTTCACTACTACTGTCCACAGCCCTTCCATATTGTCTATCATCTCCTCCATGGCACGCTACGTGGCAACTTGCACCACAAGACGTCGCAGGAAGGCGTGCACTGTTGTTGTCCCGGGGAACGGAGAGAGTGCTTTTGTCCGCCGCGGAGCTGAGACCTTCACCATCACATGCGGCATCTCAGCAGCTTGTCCGGAAAGAAACCGAAGGAATGGCCACAAGTTTCACGTCTTCTAACGCATCGTTGTCATATCGCGTATAGAAAGAGTCGTTGTCAGTACAGCGGCTTCGGCTTCTTCGCGTGTTCACGCCTGCTGTCTTCGGGCTGAGTACAAACACATACGGGGAACAAAAGGACGCGTTATAGATGCAGCAGTTCTGCGCCACACAACGCGCTCGTGCCTCGCTAGGTGCAGATGTTTGTGGGTGTCCCACAAGGAAGCTTGTGGCAAGAATACGCGGCATTACGTGATGTCACGTTCCTCTGCATGGAAAGGTGCACCGTTTTATTTCAAACATAGGGTACCTGTTTTGTTAAGAAAGGGTTTCCATTCAGTCCAGTGGGGAACTGTTTCTTTTGTGTCCAAATGTTGCAATAGCATTCAGTTTGCATGACCAGTGCGCACGTCTGGGCGTCTTGGCACCCAGTCGGCTCGAGAAGGCCGCCGCTGCCCGCGCATTCTGTGTGCGTACCCCGCAGTGCGGCGAGCATTCGGCGGAGAGGAGGGGTGCTTTCATTTACTGTAATTCACTGCCCTGACATGCTTTATTCGGCTAGTATGTGTCATCACTGCGACACAGCGAGAGACCACTGGTGGCGATCTTGATGGCAGAACAACGGAGGGGTACGTAAATGCGCCACCGGCATGTACATGTGCTCATTGGATAGCTGTTCGAATCTGAACCAGAACACCATCCGTGCTCACAGATGCAGAACTCTACTGTGTGGGACCGTGTATCGCACGAGTGCTGCCTAGCAGGCGGTGGTATTTTTGTCAGTGTTGTGCACGAGGAGTCCCCGCCACATGCACGCCTCTGATTGTTCACGATACTATCAGGACACAAGAATAATGCTGTTGTTTTTGTCCCAGTGTTCCATGTTCTATCGGGGTACGTGTGTTCTTGTCGAAACCTAGCGTGAGACCACTGGCAAGACCTATTTAGAAGGGTTTTTGAGCACACACCGGCACATAATGGGCAGTCTTCTACACAAGTTCAGTATAGTCCCTGATCAATCAGAAACGGGTGTGCACCACTAGGACAAAGTGTTTCAGTGAAGCACCAGAAACCAGGTTGCGTTTTGTGAACGGAACGCACTAGCAGGGAGCAAGCTTCCCATATCCGGCAGGCGTCATGAGAAGCTCGGAGTGCCTAGTGCCGGAAACAACAAACAGCTCGAAGAAACCAACCATATCTGGATACCTTTGTGGTTTCCAAGGACACAGTGCCTCGCGCTCTATGCGGCTGAGATGCAAGCCTCGCATTCATCTTCATTTCCTTGGTCACGCATCAGTACATTATTTGGAACAATACCTTGTCACGGAAGCTGGTTAGATATATAAACACGTCCAAAGCCACCATGACTTTCACTCATCCCACCTCACTGTTGCGTACAAATGGTCGACACTCCATCTCCCCCTGCATCTTCCCCTGACAATAGGGCCGGCTATGTTCAGATAAAGCTCGATCGGCCTCTCCCAATCTCGACAGATGATATGGTTTGTGCGCTCTTATACGGACATTTGTTCTGCTAACAGCTGTTTCTGAAGATCTTGCAAGACATTCTCCGTCACCCTGACTGCTTCCCTGATGCTGTCTATCTTGGAATCGAACAGGAAGAGACTATCACAACTCCTACGACCGCCTCCTCCACAGATGAGGTTAAAACCCCGTCGTCTGCAGTACCGAGTAACATGCCTCCACAGCTGAGGAAACCTTATGGGGGCGAAGATAGTGTGGGCCGTGCGTCCAGACCTCCTGCGCCTCTTCCTATACAAACCACCGAAGCTTTTCCCGCAAAAAGGGTCAATTATGGAAAGTCAATCAATAGTACGTGATTGAGATTAAAAGAATCCAGTATATATTAACCAGAGCATAGCGTATTGGTACACGGCCAAATTTGTGAGCTCATTGGGCATCATCAAATGTTTTGAGTGAGCTTAACCCGAATCCAGATCATCAGAACTCCCGATAATCCGCATGGGGACACCTGGGTGGAGCTATTGATTGACTCTGGTGAGAAATACCTCACTTGTTTCGACCATGGCTCGATACTTACTGGGGTATCTATACTCAGGATCACTGAATACGTATGTGGCCAGACTGAAATACATACAATATGCTCACATCAATTTATACCCATCAGATGGGCATACCTTGAAGGATATTTAAAGATGGTGGAGAGCGACTTGACTTCTGATGTACTAGGGCTGGAACAGTGGCAAGTAGGCGAACGCCGTCCCCGAGACGGCTATGTTGATTCGAAGAAATACTCTCCAAAGCCGTGTGGTGATGATTATTTGGACTTGTATGGGAGCTCTGAAAAGGTGGCTATGATTGAGTACGGCGACGGACTACGAGTTTGTATGTCTCATGTTCCTCATAAATTGCCTGTGCTTCTTTTGACTCCTCTTTCCTCGTTACTAGGTCTGGTCCATCCAAGCCCCCCCTTTGTATACAAGTGGCAGATGAATGTGCCATTCTTTATTGTCCGAGCTTCAGGCAGGAAGGAACACCCTCAAACAATCCATAACTGTCTCTCTCTGGCGTATGCCCGTAACACCAAACATCTCACTGACACAATTGGTGGTATCCTTGGATTGGGCCTCGGCAGGTAAGATTCACAACACACGTCCCAGAATATTATCTGATTGTAATGCTTGCAGTTATCAACCAGGATTCGTGAGAGGAGGATCCCGGACGCGGATTGTAAGTTTGATTCACGCAGTTTTTACTACAGTAATCTAATCCAACCACAGGATAGAGAAGAACGTCCGCCCTCTTTCATTGAATGCCTCAAACAGTGTGTTCCCACTATTCCGCCGGATCAAGAGGTGAGAAAAATCATGTCATATATTTTCTTATTTGAAATTGAGCTTTGTGAACTTCATAGAAATACGGACATGGAGTATATTTGAACATGACCAGTCTCAGCGAGGTGTTCATCATCTCAATCATACATTTACACACCAAGTAATCGCTCATTTGCTCTTTTTAGATTCATCATGAGTCCGCACTGGGGGCTCGCCTCACGGAACGAATTTGTAGATGTCGCGGTCAAGGCCGTGGACGATTCTCCGATCATCCTTCCGAATGAATGGGCTGTCATGCTTTCAGGCGTCACCATTGTCCACAGCCAACGTGACAAAATCCTCAAGGGTACTGAGACATACATTCAGTGCAAAGACACCACTGGGAATCCAGGCAAACTCAACATCCTGCTTGATACAGGTAAGTCTCATTAATTCTGTGACCCACCTCCATAGTCGCTGGCTCATCTGGGTGATTTCGTTGCTGTGAAGGCTTCACACATTCCTACCTGCCCTCGGAGCTGCTCAGCCAAATAGTCGAAGCGGTATCAGACAAGAAAGTACATGTTAACCCCAACTTCAATTTGAAGAGTAGCCGAAAACCTGCCTACAAACTTGACACTGTCAAGGATACTCTTAACGGATGCCACATCATCTTCCACTTTGACGGCTTGGAAGGCAACACGGTTATGGTTCATGGATACTTGGACCATTTCCTTTACAGTAAAACTGCAAACTATGAGGGTAGAATTTTGCCGAACGAGGTTTTTGAAGGGAATAAGCAACCGGCTTCAGGTGGAGTGTTTGGAATAGTAAGTCTGCCGTCCTACATCTCTTAGGTTGCATACTCACTTGTTCTATAATTTCAGGGATTCTTTGAGACAATGATAGTGGGCTTGATGCCAGGAATGCATCATGATCCCGCAGTCAAGATGCGCCCATGCATTCGCATGAATAATTTGTGGGATGGATCCAATGCTCTTCCGCTGTAGATTCTTTAGCGAACTAGCATGATTGGCCCATTGTAATACTAGCAGATTGTTACTCAATACGTTACCGGAACTTCTGGCTCGGCTCGACTCCCATGCGCACCTAAAAGTATAGGCTTCGTGAGTGTTGCAGTTGCTCCCCATCCATCATCGCGGTGTTCGACGTTCATGCGCAATGCCGCTGCCGCCAGCGGTCCAGCATGTGCTCGTACTCGAGCTTGAGGGCGGCGGACGCCGTGACATTCAGACCCACACGTTGTGGGAACGCACCTTCTGGCCCTCGAAGCAGGGCAGCGCCAACGGACGCGAGCGTGGGGGTATAAGCCTGGCAGACCCAGTGTCATATCGGATCCGCGCTCAGCTGGAGGAGGGTGTTGTAGACGTCGGGTCGAGTGATAAGTTGGGTTGATGAACCGGGTGCACGCAGTTTTATACCCGTATGCACCTGGGTGGAGAGATGTCAGGGACGAACGGAAGCACACTGGCCAGGCGTGCTCGGGATGAGATGCCAGGACACTAGGGATGTGATTGGTTGGAGGAGGATGAGGAGGGAAATTACAGCTGAATATACCCTCTCTGTTATCCTATACACGAGGACAGTGGGAGAAACGAGGTATGAGGGGGCTTACCAGATGGGTTCGGAGCGCTCGCCGAGGGTGAAGCTTGAAGAGTCGTCCCCCCCTTCATTATGCCAGGGGTTCAGTGTAACAAGCAGTAATGGAAGTTCTCCATCATATCTTGCTCATGGAGAATTAGTATTTTATTGAGCAGCCTCTACACATTGCGCTGCGGCGACATCGGGGATGCCGGTCATACAGATCGGGGGTTGATATCGCTGGAAATTTATGCCTTCAGCAGCATACGTACAAGATAAAATCGAGGCGAATCACAAGGATAAAACATTGTTTATAAATGAAGGGTACGAGATTAGTTGGAATTGGGAGACAGGCTTCACTAGCAAGTACTCGCGCGCGACAGACTTGAGCGCCAAATAGCGGCCCGCAGTTTCACACCTCTGCCGGAAAGGCGCTTATTGAAGCGCCGCACGTCATTGAAGACCCATTCGTATGAGATACAGTAGAGGCTTGCATAAAGAGTATGAAGACTTGGAGGCGAAATTACGGGCCACACGAGAGTCGTAAATATCCTAAAAACATTTTAACCAGCGTAGCTACGACGTTAAGGCGAACTCGACCCGATGAACATGCACACTGGTAACTTGAAGATCAATTTGGTGTTCAAATCAAACCTTGAAAGCGCGAAGGATACGCAATCTCGATACAATCTGCTCGCACCATCGAACCCAGCTTCTCCCGCTCACACGATGACCACGATACCCGCCAAGACGCCGACCATGGTGGCCGCGATTTGGAGGATGTGGCGAGTGCGCGGGGGCGCATGGCGCGCCCCCGCAGCGCTGCTCGTACCCGTCGACGTCGCCGACGCGAGCGACGCGGTCGCGCTGAAGCCAATCGGGCCCGTCGGGGTCGCCTCCGCCGTCGCCGCGACCGACGCAGATGACAGTGCAGACACCTCCCTAAGATCCGAAGAGGAGTAAAGTCAGCGACGCGCGGTCTCAATGCGCACTAGACGGACAGGAGTGCGATGCTGGAGATGCAGAGGAGGGGGCGGCGTCTGCGGAATGGAGAGTAGGTACTCACGCTGAGCTCGCGGCGCTGGGGTTGGTGTCGGTGTTGAAGAGAACGCGGTCGATGACGTGGATGACGCCGTTGTAGAGGAGGACGTCGGGCTGGACGATGAGCGCGGTGGTGCCGCCGGAGGTGACGTACTGGCCGGTGGAGTTGATGCTGAATGAGAAAGTCTGGCCGGCGGCGGAGATGCGGTCGCCGCCCACGAGGTTGGGGGAGTAGACCGTCGAACCGTTGATGAGCTGGGATCATCGCATGAGAGAGGATAGATGAGGTTGCGAGTGAAGTGAGCGTACGTGATTCTCAAGAAGCGCATCGAGCGCAGGGGTGTTAACGCCTAGGCCAGTTAGCGCGCCCTGGGCGGCGGCGAGGCCAGTGTTGTTCGCCGCGAAAAGCGTGAAGCCGTGGAGGCCATTGTTGAGGACGACTTCCAGCGTGATGTTCGCAGTCGAGTTCGAGGTCGCGTTGAAGAAGTCGATGGAGACACTCTTGCTGACGCCCTGGAAACCCGAGAGCGCATCGCTATCCTGGGGAACGATGGCCCCGAACGTTCCGGGGATTTCAAGTACGTGATTGATGACGTTCACTGTGATATTACCGAAGACGGTGGTGTTCTGGATCGTAGGGTCGAGCCTAGTCTAACGGTAAACTTCAGGAGCGTAGAGAAGAGCATTGTGTCGCACCGTTGGTTTAGGATGTGGAATTTACCATCCGAGCGGTTGGCCCACGCGAGTGCCTGCGCTTGATCTCCTTCCAAGCTGACGAAGCGCGAGTCGTTGAGCAGTGTCCTGCCCAGAGTGACGTTGGGGTAGTTTGTGACGACGCCAGAGAAGTTCCCCTGAACGATGTGGTAGGAAATGATGTCGTTCAAGATTTCGGGGTTCGAAGACACGTTGGAGGGAATCGCGGCCACTGCGTGCCACATCAGCTAGTGCATCAGTCGGCACGGCGAGGAACTCACGGGCTTCGTTTGAGGGGGCAAAGATCAAGAACGATCTGCCACTTTGGAGCTGCGTGAGGATGGCGCCACCAGTGGTGGTCGTATTGAGCCCTTGAGTGATGTTGGCGAGAGAGGTGAGGCCCGCGGCGTTAAGGGCGGCAATAAGCCCTGGGACAAGAGTGGCATTCTGAGCCCACACGACGGGGCATGCGGCGAAGAGTAGCGTGGCTGCGGAGAAGAGACGCATGATAGAGGTCGTGAGATGGTCGTGAAGGGAGGGCGGAGGGAAAGGCGGACGAGGGGGTGCGGCATATATACTTGCCGTCCCCTGTGCGTTCATGGTGACGACAGGCAAGCATACCGTGCAGTGCGCCCAGAACCCTGAGGAAAGCATCGAAGACAATGCTCTTGGGTTAAGCCGTTTCGGTGCCCTAGATCATCGTGCCAGACGTCCAACTGCCTGGTTGACGTCATAACGAGCAAGCATCCGACGGCCGTCCAGCGGGTCCGCCGAGACGCAGTCAGCTCCTTCGGTCGAGTGCATTCTGCGAAGATCGTCCAGAATTCAAGTGACGATAGGCCGCTGAAGGTCTGAAGGTGCGTGAGCGGCGGATCTTGGCACATGTTCTTCATGCGACTGCGCGCAGATGATCGCCGCAGGAGAAGCGCCAGTCAGAGTGCGAGGGGTACTGTAGGCTCCGCAACATTCAGGGGGGTCGTCCAAGAACAGAACTGTAAGACGCACGTCACAGGAGCGCCAGGCTTGGAAAATGTACGCGCAACACCGGGACAAGACGATCTGCGGAATCAGAATGCGCGGTCGAGGGCGCTCGCGAGTCTATCTGCCAATGGTAATAAGCACGAAGAACTCCACATGCGCAAGCCGGAGAATTACCTCGATTACAGGACGTACATATAGGGTGCAAGTCCACCGCTTGAGACACGCCGGCGCGGAGCTGATGGCTACGTACGCCTTCCTATCTCAAGTAAGTCCTCAGTACCAGTATAGAAGGATTTCTTGCTGGAATGCAGAATTGCTGAGCGTTCTCTGGACTGTGTCCGTGCGCGCATATCGAGAGAGGTCGATGTCGCTTGGAAGGTAGTGAAAGTCCGAAGGCAAGCCGATCCAGCGCAGTCCAACCAGAAAAAGGCCACGCGGGGCAGCTGACTAAGGTGATTATGTAACAAGCCGCAGATTGCGTGAATGCCAAAGTTCGATTCCAAGGTGTAACCAAACACATGTGTAGCCGTGGTATAGTCATCACGCATCCTGCGTCACTCGCGGTAGCCCCATTCAATATCTTCGTCTGTTATGGCCTGCTCCGCCTGTCTGGTTACGAGCTTCGGCGCGCGCCCGCTACGGACACTTAGCATACGATCGTCTGCCACCATTAGCTTTATATACCGTTCCCGCACCTACTGTATCGCTACGCGATTGCCTCCTGGCTCCTCCCCGTCGCCTCTCCTTCCCGTCTCCCCGCTACCGCGAGCCTCTCCGAGGTCAAGCGCGTCCTCTAATCCAATCCCGCCTTTCCACTCGTCTCCGACTCGCCCGACCTCCGCGCTCCCGCGCTCCGCGACCGTAACATCGTCAACCTCCACCAGCGCGACCACATCCTCCAGAGATATCCCCGCACACGGCGCTATGCACTCGAACTCCCCGAGCTTACAAGGAAGCCCTTCTCCGACCCGACCCGCCTCGTCCAAAAGCTCTCCGACACGAGCTTCATCCTCCGACTTGCGCGACACCCGCGCCCGCGCAGCCACGACCCGCCGCACGCACGCCGCCCGCACATCGTCGCACTCCGCGACCACCAGGCGCCGGAGCCGCGGGGCCACCCATCGGCCGCGCGCGTGCGGACCCGCCCCGCGAAACGCGCCCCAGTGGCCGCCGGTGCACGTCCCGGGCGCGAGCGCGCAGACGAAGTCGCCCGCGCCGGGGCAGCTGGTGAGGATCAGGTTCTCGACCGCGGGCAGCCAGGAGAGGAAGGCGCCCGCGGCGGTGGTATCGAGGATGAAGCCTTCGAGGTGGAGAAGCTTGAGGCGCGGAAGGCGGAAGGCCTCCGGGCCGTTGCGGGACATGGACGTGAAGAGGGACGGGAGGGACGGGAGTGGGAGGGCGGCCTTCCCGGGGGTGAGGAGGATGCTGTCTTGCAGGCGACGGCGAAAGACCTGTGGGGAAAAGTCGGCGTCGCAGACTAGCTCCAGCTCTTCGAGCGCGGGAAAGCTGAGCCCGGAGAGCTGGTGGGAGACCGGCCAGAATCCGAACGACGGGGTGAACTTGGCGTTTGTGACAACGATCGAGAGGGACCTGAGGTTGGAGAACGTGAAGACGCTCTTGGGGTCGTTCCACGGTGCCTTCGGGCATTCGTGCGGGTCTTGAGCGGGGACGCCGCATGTGCATACTCGCGTCGACATGGACATGCTATTGTGCGTCGGCTGCGACTTGATCGTGAGCCAGAGGGCGGAGAGCTGAGGCATCTCGAACATGCGAAACAGCCCCCAGAGGAGAGCGCAGTCAGAGAGCCCTGACCACTCGAGAACGTCGACAGGCAGCGTGAGGGCGAGCCGATTGTAGGGTTGCTGACCACCCCGAGAAACGCCAGCGTCTACAGAGTGGTCAACCTTTATGATAAGGTCTTCCATGATGAGGTTCTTGAGGGAAGGGGCTGAGGCGAGGAGATCGTACAGGTGGGAGGATCGGAGGCCACCGTGGCCAGCGAATGCGAGCGCGTTGAGCATTGGCTTGATGCGGGTGCCTAGCACGACAGGACTGAGACGGTTGAGGATGACCTCTTGAAGAACTGGAAGGTCGATTTGGAAGGAAGGGGTTCCTGGAAAAGCCGGGAAAATTGGGGCTTCCAGGTAGACGGCTCGAAGGGCCGGGAGGCTCGGGAGCCCGAAGAGGTACTGGAGGTGGTGGATCTGGTGTACCACGTCTTGGGACCACTCGCACTCCAGGTTTTGCAGCCGCGCGGACGTCGCAACGAGCTGCCGGACCGTCTGTTGGGTGGGTGGCTGGGCGGCGCGTGGGTAGGCTCTTGGACAGTATGTCACTGGACCACCGCGCGATCGCTCCAGCACTGTGGGCAGAGCGGCCGGGGACCAGACACATAGCTCGGTCCAGAGGCTTACACTCGTCAGTGTAAGGGCCCTCCATACGCCACAAACATGAGAGAGGATGACGGCGGCTTTCGGATTATCCCAGACCGAGAACTTGAACACCAGGAGGAGGAGCTCGGGCGGAAAGTGGTTGATGTTGGTCTGAGAACGGAATGCAAGATGGTGGCGCAATTGAGCCTCCGAAAAGACCCACCAAATTATAAACACTCACCGAAATAGTCACCATCGCTTCGTGCGACGCAAAACGGTTGAAGGATAAAGTTCGAAGCGATGGATAGTATGGGAGGTGGGGGCGTTTGGGCAGTTTGGTGGTCAAAGCGCCAACTCCGGCACGAAGGGATGGGTTCCGAAGTGAAGCAGCGACGATGGGAGGAGCGTTCTGAGTGGTGGGGACCAGCAAGGCAGATGGAGAAGAGCAGGATGGGCGCCAAGTAGATCAACCATGACGCGGGGTAGACCCCGAGCGCGTAGCCGATACGCTCACAGGAGAACAATGGCCAATGCTTGCACGTGGCTGTTCAAAGCGGCGACCTCGTCGGCTGCGTCAACCACTCAACGCATGACTTCCGCGGGCCACAACGATTGCACTGGAAGCGAGATCAGTCAGACCCAATGTGAAGTGTAATATATGATCTGAAACTCACCTCGAGCCCGACGTCTGGTCGGTCGACGGCGACTTCCGGTACGACGTCGTGAAGTCATTGGATGCCCCACACCGTGCAATTGTGTCCGTGTCGGTCCTCGACCGCCCCAAACAAAGCGCTTCGCCTCGCTGTATTGGATACCATAGTCAGACGTTGTCCCCCTCTGTTATCGTCGTGCGCGGACTCTCAGCATCTGCCAGTCCTCCGGGAAGCACGATTGGTTAGTTGTATTTGATCGCGGGCTCCGCTACGCAACATGTAGCAATAGTGCGCGGGCCGCACGCATAGTACACTGCCGGCGCTTCAAGCTTTGGGGGAGGGCGGTATCGCTGGGACACCGCGACAGCACGCACTAGCTGCAAGTGGCACCCTTGTGCGCAACCGTCGTCTGAGTGTGTCTGTAGATGAGGTACTTCAGCCACTGCTCGTACACAGAAGAGGAGGAACTCCCTACGTTGAGAAACGTGCTACGGCGCGTCCACCTTGACTTGATGGGCGCACGCGCCAGACACGCCCAAATGGTAAAATCCGCCAAGTTTATTCAAGGGTCTTCGACCACGCGAAGCTGATGAGCACGTGCTGACATAAAATCTTTCATATGTTGCACGCTGCAGGTACGTGTGCAAACAGACGTGCACGAAGCAGGGACTCTTCGGTCCGTACTCCCCATGAGAGGCGCAGAACGACGCCGTCCAGGAACGTCTGGATAGCATGTTAACGTTTTGGTCGAGGGAAACAAAGAGTCATGATACAACGCTCACGCGCGGAGCATAAGTACTGGCGTTGGTCCTCGTAGCTGTACCGACCACACCATCTGACAGATGTGCGCGCTCATGATAAGAGCTGTGGTACAGAATTGTGTGGCCGGATCGTGCACATCCGACTCCCCCTCGTCGGCCAGACGTGTGCATGGCAGACACTGTGTGCCTGCCATTCACACGCCTAGTTCACATGACACCGTCAATGACCCCAGCATTTTGCAACGCTTCAGGGGAGGTCGCCGCTAGACCCCGTGTTGTGCTGAGATAGACCATCGGAGACGCACGGACATCTTCAGGCGTCCATGTGAATCCCAGCCGGGTTTACGATGGTCTACTGGTAGAATACGTAACATCGCCGAACTCGTGACATACCAAGAGTGTTTGAGCGAGCATGAGCCAGAGAGCATCGACTGCAGGTGGGCAGTCGTAACGTGGCGCACTGTGTCGGTCGTTGTATGCAGTCTGTACGCGGTTTTTGCGCGCTGTGGTGCTTGCGGAAGACACAGGGTGATGATTGATACAAGTACTAGAACGAGAATTTACAGAGCATCTGCCGCAGAGATATACAATACTAGGAGAAATGAGGGTAGGTATCCAGCGCGCAAAGCAAGGCAGTAGAACGCACCATTGTTGCCGCGAATAAACGCGTCCCCATACCGGTTTGTGATCCTGCCGTTCGCATGCTCCTCCGTCTGCTCGAGCGCGATGTTCATGTAGCCATCTAAGCACGACAGTATCCCTGAATCCAGCTGAGTCACATGCTCATGTACGGAGGTCACCTGAGTGGACATACCACGATAATCCACCCCCGAGGTAAGTCGGACGACCACACGCTTCCCGACGACGCCCTTGAGAAAGTCCGTGGGCGAGCCAGAGGTAGAGGGAGGAGGAGGCGGCGAGGGCTCCGCGGCAGCAGCGGGAGGAGGCGGAGGAGTGGAGTCGGCCATGTGGTGGTCGCTGTCTGCGGAGACGAGGAACGCGGTGGGCGCGACGAGCTCAGCACACGCGGCGGCGACGGAGTGATGGTGAACAGGCGCGGAAGAAAAGTCAATCAGGGTCACGCGCGCTTGTTTGCCAAAATCTTGCGCTCGCCAGGCACCGCGCGAATCCCGGCGGAGCAACCGCCATGACGATTCGGATATGCATCCCTCTTTGTACTGGCGGTCTTTCATCCCCTCCTCCTCCTCCTCCTCCTCCTCCTCCTCCAACGCCGTCGACGGCTCCCGCCACACCCTCCGCACTCGCGCAAACGACTAGGCCTTCGGTCGCGATTGTCGACAATGAGCGACCGTCGGCGGTACGACCCTCGCCTAGGCGACGAGGATGTCGATGGATCGAATGACTCCCTCTCTCTCCGCACCCCACCCCTGTCCCCTCGTTTGCAACCTCGCACTCCTCCTCGTTCTCCCCACCTCGAGCCTCAAAGTCCCCCACACTCTCCGCGCCTTGGGCCTCAAAGCCTTCCGCGCTCTCCCCGGACGCCTTCTCGCAGCCCACGCCACCTTCATGTCCAGTTACCAGACGATCCCAGCCACGATGCTGACGCGCCGGAGAAGTTGCCGCCGCGACAAGAGACGCAACCTGAAAAGTCTCCCGTTCCGTGGACGACACTCGTACTCAACAGCGTTACCTCAAGCTTCGCGTGGGTCCCTGCGTCGATGACGCGCTCAAAAATGAAGCCCGTCGTCCGTTGTGCCGTTGTGTGCTGGGTTTCTGCGCTGCTTATGATTATCAGGCAGACCAGGGAGGTCATGGGCTCGGTGCGTGGTTTGTATCTCGGACACGGTCTGCTCAGCTCATGCCTCGCACTTTGTGTATAGGGCAGCTTTTTGATTCTCGTCGGTGAGTCTCGATGAACCTCCCTATATGCGCGATTGCCTCGCCACTGGTGGATCGGCTGCGGCTTCGCATGCAGTTGGTCTTCCAAGCTTCTTGTGCATCATGCTGCCTCGCATCTCTCCCGCTTTCCTGGCTGTGGGGCGACGCGGTGAGATCTGTGTGCCCACATTGCACGACATTATGCACATATATGCACTATATGCGTGGCGGGCTCTACGTCTTCCGCGTCGACGCTGAGAGCTATTCCCGCTATTGGTTCTTTCTTTTTTCCGGATACACATCCTGGTCTTTCCCTGCACGCGAGCCAGCGCCCGAAAGAGTTATTTCCGAGGACAGCGCCTGCTCATTTCCACTCAAGTTGTTGTTTTCACGATGACCCTTACTGACAAGTCTGCAGCATCGTTTTTAGACACCCCTCATGATCCGTTCTTGGCTGTGCTTGAACGTGAGATTACACTGGTGCTGTTTGCATCACTTGCTTGGGCGTAAGTCATGATCATCCGTGCTAACAACGCACTAACCCTCAGCCCCATGCCAGGTGGTCCTGTCTTGGAATATTTCTCGCCAATCTCACTAGAACAAACACCGATCGTAACGCCACTCTCTCTGCCATCCAGTCTGCCCAATATCTCGAACACGTCCCCACCATCATTCTCGCTGTATTCATGTTTCTCGGATCTGCTTTCTTCCTCTTCCTCAAGGCTAAACTCGGGCCAGGACCGTACCTGTTTGCCACAATATTCGCCTGTGTCTGTATCGACATATCTATCACGACATCCGCTCTCTATCCCTATCCTATCTACACCGTCGGAAGGACGATCATTGTGCCGTTGGCGTTTCATGCTGCTCTCTGTATCTTCTTCTCCGCCGTAATCTTCCCCTCCACCATCACTTCACAGTATGCTCGAACCGTTCAGGGCGTCCTAGCGCCTCTCAATGGCTTCCTCGCACAGCACCGTGCTGTTCTTGCCCTCGATCCCGGCTCCGAGGAGTTCAAAACCACTGTGGCAAGCATTGTCGGCGCACTTGGCAAATCCGAAGGTGGATTGGGTGCTGCCGGCGCGGCCGCCCGGCTCATCGGGCAAGACATCGTGTTCAGCCGCTTTTCTCCCTCTAGCATAGCAAGATTTCAACCCCAGATCCGTCGCCTCGTTACGCGGGCGAACGGGCTGGACATCTTCTTCACTCTCATCGACCCGACGCGCGAACGCTTTCCCGTCACGCCAGGCCCCTCGCGCCCGGACACCCCTCGTAGCAGTACGCCTTCTGCCTCGCTCCCGGGCACGCCTCCCAACGGGCCCAGCACACCACCGGGCACGATGCGCGCTGAGGACGTCGACGTGTTCGAAAGGCGCCGACGCCATCTCCAGATGCAAGCTGTTACGCGCACGCGCTCCCACCGTTCGCTTTCGCGTGTGCTCCACCACAAGCTCACTCGTCACAAGGAGGCCGACCACGACCATCACCTTCACTTTTCGTTGTTGTCGCTCGCGCAGAATCTCACTCCGCAACGCGGCTCCGCCTTCCTTACCCCTACGGAGAGCGCTGTTGGTGTTTTCGAGTCCCAGCGGTACATGGCCCTCGAAGCAACCCGTCTCTCAGACAGGAACACTACCGAGTACACCACCCAGTTCGTTGCTCTGCTGGGGCAGTCTTGCGACCCTCTCCTCGCGAACCTGCAAGAGGTCCTCAAGGGCGTAGACGAGTGGTTCCTCACTGCGCGCCGAACCAGCTTTCTGCGCGCACGCAAGGTCCGACAGATCCGCGCGGAACGTCTCGCCCATTTGGAGCATCTAAGCGCGGACGCGAAGGAAGCACTACGGACCTTCACACACAATGAACGGCGAGTTGCTCCGCCCCTCGTGTACGGTGTCGCCAGCTGATTAGTATCCCGTACAGGCTTTCGGTACTGGATCCGTATCGCTCTGCCTTCGATCCTAAGCACGTCCGTGCCGGGGGGAACGGCCAGGAACCACCTCCACATCGCTATCTCTTCCATTGTTATATGTACCAGTACCATCTCATTCGGTTCTCGAGCATTCTGCAGGAGATTGTGAGAGCTCCCTCTTTCTCGTCTCTTACCGTCCGCTGACACATTTTAGCTCAATGACATCATTCGGCTCGAGAAGTCTTCCCAGCGCTCCCAGATGTGGTGGCCTAGCGTGCCCTTCAAGAGATTCCTCCGGTCTGCACCGTGGACAGAGGAGCTGGAAAGGGGGGACGACGAGGATCCCGGTATGAATTTCTGCGGTGCTTTGGGGTCCGTGTCGCCGACTTTTCTTTGCTTTAGACGTCGTCCAAGGCATTCAGTCCGACTGGTCGGAGGACCTTGGCTTGGCCAGCAAGCGCGATCCCGACGCGCTTCCACCTCAAAACGCGTTCCAAGAATGCATGATCAAGGCGTACGACGTGATTCACTCAGTCGGTCGCGGGAATTCTCTATTTGCTCTCAAAGCTGGAGTGTTGACGAGTGAGCGGTGCCGTATCGTTCGATGCGTCGAGCCGTTGCTGATTGTGGAACAGTTCTCCTGTCTATCCCGACCTTCCTCAAGAGCACGGCGATGTTCGCGGAATGTATGTGCTCGCACCCTGGCTTGCGTCAGAGTCTGACCTGTCCCTCGCAGCGGAGCGCTTCTCCTGGGGCATGTAAGGGAGCTTTCTTGTGAGCTAGTCCGAGGCTGATCACGCAACAGTTTCATGGGCCAGCTTACCCTTGCCCGGTTCCGCGGCGATACGACATTCGGCCTCGTCGCGCGTATATTGAGCACCTTCATTGGAGGCCTCGTCGGTACGGCGATGTGGTATGTCTCCCAGGGAAACCCGTTCGGGCTGGCAGCTACAATCGGTGTATGCGCGCCTTTCTTCTTCTTTTGGCGCCTGTACTGGCCGGTGCCGCCCATGACGAGCATCATCTTGTTTGTGACTGTCGGTCTGGTATGGCCTTTCTCAATAACATCCCTTGTCGATGCTTACACGAGCTCTGCACAGGTGGTCGGCTACTCGTGGCAGAATGAACAGCCTACTTCTCTGGCTCAACCGTTCCGATATACGGGCGTAGAGCTTGCTTGGGTGCGTTCTTTCGTGTTCCACCTTTCCAGCGGGGCTAACACACGTCCACTCAAGCGGCGCTTCGTTCTGGTAACCAGCGGTGTTACTGCAGCCTTGTAGGCGAGAATCGCCTTTGCCTGCGCATACATTCTGAACTCGTGCGCAGCCTGTTCTCGTTCCTTCCGCCGTCCACGACGCTGCGCAAGTATCAACGCAACATGATGTCCACCACGGTTGCCGAGATTGGCACGGTTTATTGTGCAGTCGTCTCCTTCGCGAACACGCGCGAGAACCAGGAGACCACAAGACAGGAGATCGTGCAGAGCCTTGTCGCCATCCGGCTGAAGCTGAAACGTTCCCTCGTTCTAAGGACGAACATCGTCTATGAGGTGCGTGTCTTCGCGTCTATCCATGGTCCCCCGGCTGATCGTGCGGTAGTTTTCCCTGCGAGGCAGATGGCCGTCTCAACGGTACAAGAAGATCCTCGATTTGCAGTCGTGCGTACTAGATCTCTATGGCTCGCATTGGCTCTGACTCTCGTCTAGGGAGATCGCGTATCTTCTTTCTCATTTGATGTCTGTCATCGAGCATCTGCATCCAGCATGGTCGCGCGCATTCCTGCGGAGAACGAGGTTCACGGACGCGGATTTTCAGGGCGACGTTCTCGCGGTCATCAGTATGTCTTGCTGTCGACGGCCCGACCTGACCCTAACCTTACGTCGACTCGACAGGCATGATCTCGACCGCGCTCCGAACTGGGAATCCGCTGCCGCAAATCACGCCCTGTCCCCTTCTGGACAGGTACATGCTCCACGCGCACGGACTAAACGTTATTGGACACGAGGCCGACGACGACTACGGTCTGCCGCGGACGATGACCATCGAGACGCTCGAGAACGAGCAGTATCTGTGAGTGCCGCCCAGCCGTGGCCGCCCCTGACGCTGACGAAGGACCGTAGCTGTTTCTCCGTCGGGGCCACGACGGCGTTCGGGATCGTCCTGCGCCTCGACAAACTCATGGTCGCCACCAAAGAGCTCGTCGGAGAGCAGTACCACATCCGCGGCATTGGCGTCCCAGAACCGAAGATCCCCACCCAATCCTCCGTGGACCGGCCGGGCAAGGACGTGTAGCGCCTGCGCCTGCACTCGCGAATGCGCGGTGCATTCTCCGATGCCTCCGTGTTCGGAGGTTTCTGTCTGGTTTCTGTTCCGATCTAGAGTCGCTCTGTCTTGCTTCGCTGTCAAGTCGTAGGATCGCTTGTTTGTTGTTTTCACACCCCGTTATCGCTATGTCGTTGCTATTTGCGTCGCCTTCTTGTTTAGAGTCCCCCACTCCCTCCACAGTGCCGGAAGTGGCACTGAGTCTGCTGACTTTTGAAGTCGCAAGCCGTCGATGTCGCGATGTCGCGATGATCCACTTCGACCTTCTTATTCATTTAGCTCACTATCCCTGCGCAGTTGGGGCACCTTCGCATCTCATCTCTTGTCACTAGGTAAGTACTGACGATCTTCAGGACTTTCTCAGTCAGCTCAACAATGACGCGCAAGGCCTCCGACTGAGGCGTCTCGGCGTTGACCTTTCGCTCATCGCAAATCTCCTCGGGATTCCCGACTCAATATCTGCGATCATCCTAAGTGTGGTGTCCTCTTACTAGCTCTCCGTCCTTTCCTTCCTTCCTTCTCCCTCGTGGCGTCGCCTCACCACAGTGCAGATTGCATGTCCAGGCACGACAGTATGGAGTCACCCGGGATCCTGTCACCTACTTGAACGTCGCGGTGCTCCTCGACCGACGTGAACCTCGTCGGTAAGGCTTCGCGCGCTATCGTAAGGGCAAGGGCAAGGCGAAGAGCAAGGGGTATGAACGCGCTCGTGAGCCAGTCCGTCATACCCTTGCATGAACTCAGTCACTAATTTTGATTCTGTGGACAGAGGACCAGGTGTTGAAGATCAGACCTCGCCGCCGACTGTGGGGATCGAGGCAGGCGCCCCTTGAAGCCATGCATCGTTCGAGGTTGGTGGTGGAAGGCGTGGTGCAGCTGTTTATCGACCGGATGGCTGACACGGAATTACACTGGAGTCTCCCAGTCGAGGAACCCCCGCCAGCGCCTATCGGGCGTTAAAACGACGGTGAATTTGTATCGCGCGAGCTGCGTACTTACGTCCATCTGATACCGAGCACCGTCGACGACAACCTCGTGTAGCCAACACGCGAAGACAGCCTTGTCAAACACGCGCAGTGAGCATCACGGATCACCGCCTCATTGGTTCAACACACTCCCGCTGCCGTTGTGGTGCCGGTGAGTGCCCCAAACGTACCCGCTTGGTAACTCCGCGCATCTTGCTCCAACTCCCCATTCTCGTTCTCCCCCGCGTTTGCGGAGCTCTTTCCTTCCATTCGTTACATTTCGTCTTGATTGTTCCCTTCTCCCTCTCCCAACTCGTTACCCGTTGTTGGGTCGTTCGTGTTTGAAGCGCCGCAAGGCACATCCCCGGCGCTGTCAAACTCCACCGATCGGATCGAGACGCCATGTACCATTCCGTCTGTCAAGCCCTGGACCACTGAGCGCCACGCTGCTTTAATGAACCGCAAGGCTATAAGCCGACCCCTCGTTCTTTTGCCTCCCTTCGCCTTTTTTCCCTGCGGTCTTGACCATGTCCCGCTATTCCTACGAGTCTGGCTCGGAAACAAATTACGATCACGAAGACGACATGAAGGCCTCCCTTCTCCCGATGGTCCTGACTGCCCCTACCGACTCCTGCCCTCCCTCCTCCCCCGTCTGGGCGCGTCGGTACAACGTGACGAGAGCGTCGCGACGCCGCTTCCTGCTCGTCGCTTCCTTCATTATATGTCTGGGTAGCGTCCTTGCCTTCTTCCGCTTCTATGAGACATCCGAGACGCTCGTCGACCCCTCGCGTTTACTGCTTCCCGTGAGCGATCCGGTCCCGCCCTCCGACTTCCCCAACAACATCAACAACACCAACACCACCATCAACAACAGTACCCTGCCGCCCTCACACGACCAGTACTTGCCAATTTCCTTGAGGCCGGAGACATATGTACGAGGCAAGCCTACAGCGCACTTCCGAGGTGAGTTTGCACACTTCTGAGGGATTCTCGCCGTACCGACCCCATTCCCTCAGACAGTTTGCGCGACGACGTGAAGTACATGACGTCGTTCCTGGGTGCTGGCTTCAGTGCGTGACTTTGCCTCCTGCGACACACATTCGCTCACCGCTCCTCAGCAAATGACCAGATCACCTTGGTGTGTGTCGTACTCCATCGGCGATGGCACGCAGCTCATTTCCGTGCAGGGCAACTTGATCTACCTCTCCAAGATCTCCGGGCGCGTCCCCGTGCTCCCTCCACTCACCTCCCACATCGATGCTCAGAAGGACCCCCTCGACTTTTCGCGCATCTTCGACCTCCCTCGTCTGACACGCGAGTCGGGCATTCCAATCCTGGAGTGGTCGATGATCAAGGACCTCGACCGGGCGTGGAGTGAGGGCGTGGTCGACGAGCTCGGGTGCTGGAACATCTGGCAGAGGCAGGACATCACCGCGGACGGGCCCCGAAGAACCTACACGTCAGAACTGCTGAAGCTAGGTGGGTCCTTGTGTGCCAATCGTTCGCGGGACGACTCTTGACTCCCCACAGACCTCTCCCACACGCTCGCGCCCGGGTGGGTGAAACTGATACCCAACTTCGAGCACGACAAGCACTCCACATTCTGGACGCTCGCGAAGCTGCTCTTCCCCGCCGCACGCGCCTCAGCGCTCGCCGACCCCGCCGAGCACCCGACGCTCCCAGCGCACTCGGGCGCGCGCCTCCCTCCCGACGAGCAGATGGGTTGCATCGACTACCTCTACTACACGTGCGCGCAGGAGGTCAGCTCCCCTCACGCTTCGCGCGTATGTGTCGCTCTCGCTCACCACCGCGCCCGCGCCCACAGGCACTCGACTTCGCGCAAGACTACTCGCCGATGTGGCGGGACGTGATGACGCACGCGCACTGGACGCCCGAGGTCGCGCGGCTCGGCGCGTCCCTCGTCCGCGCCACCCTCGCGCCCCACGCGCCGCGCACCTCGCCGCCCCCGCCGTTCATCGCGCTGCACGCCCGCCACGGCGACTTCGCGCAGTACTGCGACCCCGCGGGCCCGCGCGGCGCGTGCTTCGCGCCGCTGTCCGCGTTCGCGGCCGAGGTGGAGCGCGTGCGGGACGCGCACGCGGCGCGGACGGGCGTCCGCGTCGAGCACGTCGTGATGACGAGCGACGAGCGCGACCCGGGGTGGTGGGCGGAGGTGGCCGCGATGGGCTGGCACCGGGTCGACGTCGGCGCGGCGCGGACTCCGGCGGGCTTTGGGGAGTGGTGGCCGGTGATCGCGGACGCGGTGGTGCAGAGCATGGCGGTCGGGTTCGTGGGCACGGAGGACTCGACGTTCTCGCTCGCGGCGAAGCGACGGGTGGAGGAGTGGAACGGGGGCGAGGTCGCGATGGTCAAGTGGCGTTAGTAGCGTTGGTTGGTCGTTTTTATTGTGTTGTGTATATGTATTGTGGACATAATCACCTAGACATAGATGACATCATCAGGTTAGGGCTTTGCTTATAATAGGATTCCCACGGATATTACATGAGTCAATGATGCTGTTCAGATTCGATTATTACTACTTGTTACCGTCGCTGCGGGCTTCGTGGTCTCTTCCCTCACCCCCATCCACGATCCAGTACGCAAACCTCTTTAGCCTCCACTTTCGTGTCGTGAGCATTGCACCAGTGTATGTTACATAACAGACTGATGACACAGTTGACATGGCTAGATTCGATACTACTGTACCATTGCGAATTATTCGAACCGAGCCTTGGTGCGTGACAGCCCAAGTACGCCAGGTGTATTCGAACCGGGGGCTGGCCCGGCGTGACCACCCTGAAGTATTCGAACCGGACGGTCTTTAACACGCTGGGTGCACCGTCATTGGAGAAACAGAGCACTCATCTATGCCACGGGTAATTAGCACAGAGCACACCCAGAAGGCCAAAAATGCTCTGGGCATACGAAACGAATGCGCATGCCGTTAAGCGCCCATACAGCGATTTCGAACTGTGGGCTTGTGATGCGTGACTGACCCCAGATATTTCGAACTTTCGGAGGGCGCGTGACGCGTGACGTTCGAATAATTCGAAATGGTACAGTATGGCTGAATCTACAAGCGAGTCCATGAACATCGCCTCCGCTCCCTTCAACAAACCGTCTGCAGATCTTAGTTTGCAGACCTCAGACAACTTCCAGTTCAACGTATGGAAGGTAATCCTTATGGAGGCCTCTATCGTCTTTGCCGATATGTTCACGCTGGACGAGATACCACACGGCTCCGCCGCTGACAGCGCGGCATCACATCAAGCCCCCGCCGTGAAGCTCACCGAAACCAGCGCAGCCCTGGACGGCTTTCTTCGCATGTGCTACCCTCCCCGCACCCCTCATTCACTTCTATCGACGCCCTCCGCTCCGTCATGGCCGTCGCACACAAGTACCAAGCCGACGGCGTCTTCCAGGTGCTCAAAGAAGCTCTCGTCCACAATTTCGCCGCCACCCAGCCCGTGCTCGTCTACGCCATCGCCGTGGACTTCGACCTCGCCAACGTCGCCAGGACGGCCGCGCGCCACTTCCTCGCGGTCCCTTCCCCGCGCCGCCGCCGCCGCCGCCCAGCGAGCTCTCGGAGGACATCAACGTCGCCGAGACGTACCAGCGCCTGCTCGCCTACCGCCGCCAGTGCAACGACGCGCTCACGGTCATGGTCGAGAGCAGACTCGCGTGGCTCCCGCAAGGCGCCTGGCAGTTCCTCACCTGCACGCACTGTCCGCCGTCGACCGTCACCAGCTTTTACCCTGGGGGCAGCGGCAGCGGGCAGCCGTTGCCGGCACATGCACAGGTCCCGAGGATGTGGTTCTGGAGCCACCACGAGCGCATGGGAGAGCTGTTGCGGGAGCGGCCGTGCGCCGCGGCGATCAAGCGCCCGAGCCTGCTCGAGCAAGGGATCGTGGAGGTGGCTCCGACGTGCGGGAACTGCAGGTTCAGCGCGCCTCGGCTGCTTCGGCTCTTCAACAAGGAGTTGGGGAAAGAGGTGAGGCGTCGGATCGCACAAGTGAGCTCGCCCTGGTTCTCTGGACCGCGCTGATAGACTGACGCGACACGGCGCAGATTCCAATACCTGATGTTGCACTTACGTCGTCTACTGGGTGGATGCAGGGTCTTGATATCTGAGGACTTTGTTGGCGGAGGGCAAGAAGATTCATTGAGGGAAAGGGTCGACCCAAGCTTCCCCACGTCGGACGGAAATATCTGTAACGAACGTTCGACGGTGCACCTCCCTCTCGTTCTCCGTCCCGGCGCTCCAACTCGGCTTATCCAGAGCAGCCAGAGGCTGAACCAGCGAACTCGCGCGGAACGCGAGCTCGACCTCCACGACCACCTTCTCCGCCGTGTCGGTATCGACGACCGTGAACTTGAACGCGCGCGCGAAGTCCGGCCACGACGCGACGTGGTCCACTGCGCACTGGTGGTCGCCCTGGCACTGACCGCCACCCGGTGCGCCGCCGAACGTCGGGCTCAGCGGCGTGGTCGGCACCGCGCCCGAAGACCCGAGGAGGACGACGCGCGCCCAGTGCGGGCCCGTGGACGGCGCGCGCGCCGTGTACGTCCGCGAGGACATCGGCGACGCGGGCAGCGACGGCGGCGCCGCATCGCGGTCGCGGTCGCCGCCGCAGCGCCCGAGGAGCACGCCGAAGCGCGCGCGCGCGAGGTCCGCGCTCGTGCTCAGGACGAGCGTCGTCGGCGTCGCGCCGTCCCAGTCCGGGGAGGCGTCGCCGCCGGCAGGCGCGAGGAGCTCGAGGTGGTGGCGCGCGCGCGCGAGCGCGTGGAAGGTCCAGCGCGGGATGCGGAAGGGGGTCGTGAGGCTGCGGTTGAGGAAGATGCGCCGGGCGGGGGGAGAGGGCGGCGGGCGGTGCGCGAGGTAGATGTCGCGCCACTTTGCGGAGGCGGGTTTGCCGAAGAGGAAGAGCTGTCCGCGGGAGGCGTCGAGGGGGACCAGGCGATAGGACGAGTTTTCGGAGGTGGTGATGCAGGGGTAGTATAGTGGACGTGAGGGGTCGGACGAAGTAGGAGATGCGGTCAGGAGGAGACCTAGTTGCTGTCCGGTTGTGGATACCGAGCAGAGGAGGACCGCCACGGCGATGCTTGCTGAAAGCTTGATGACGGGGACCCGCGCGTGTACTCCGTAAGGAGTAACAGTGAAAATGTGGAGGCCTGCCACCTTCTTGCGCATGACCCGCTTCACCAGGGACTGTTGGGATGCACTGCATCAGCGCTACTATTTCTGGAGCGAATGAAGGACACTCACGTGTCTATCGCCAGCCTTGAAGAACTGTTGAGACTCCGCGTGACAGACTTGACGGACGTGTGCGCATGTAACAAACACCGACGAGGAAGGAGCGAGCAAAAATGAATGATGGCTGTCGAGGCTCGGAGGAGCTTGGGACGAGGGGAGGGTGCCGGTGTCGTCGAGATGATGACCCCACGCGAAGAGTGACATGTCGGTAGACTGCCTCATGATCTCCTCTTGAAGACGACGGAACGCGTTCCTCCCTTCGCCGTACAGCGTAGGCATGTTGATCCCGAGAATGCCCATGAGGCAGTATGCCTCGTCCTCGACCTTCGTCGTCCGGCGGGTTGCCGCCCACGACAACCTCTGCGCGACGCTCATCTCCGTGATCTCCTGCTCGTGCCGAAGGACCTCTCGTGGGATCTGTGTCACCTCCTCCAGTAGTTCGGCGAGATCGCACTTGGTGCCAAGAACCTCCCAGTCTTGAGAGAAGAAGACGAGAGACTCGGGCGCGAGAAGTTCCTGGAGGGTCCACCCGCGCTCGTGCCATCTGCTGATGCGGAACCGATGCCGACAGACGGAGTCGTTCTGGACGTCGCCGGAGGGGACGTCGTAGAGGTAGGCGAAACAGATCTCCGCCTGAGCGTAGTATCGGAACATCGAATTGATGGACTCGGAGAGCTCGACGTCGTTTGACTTGTCGATGCAGCACGTGTCGTTCCAGGCGTACTGGTACCCTTCTTGTTCCGCGAGGATGCAGCACTGCCGGGTTTTTGAAGAGACGTAGTCGCGCGGGCATGAGCCGGCTTCACTACAGCGGGCGTAGAGCTTCCGAAGGTCTTGAAACGTGTCCTCAGCGACGTCTGATTGCCAGACATGCGAGAGGATCGCGTAGCCGCCCGGGACGGTTTCCGGACTGTCGAAATACTGTAGCTCTGCGCGAGATGTAGACAAGAGCCACATGCTGTAGGACAAGTGAGTACAGAATGACGGAAAAAGGAGGCTGTAGATGCACCTCGAGGGATGTTGACGTTAGAGAGCGGCCGCCGGCGAGCACTCTGAGAGCACTGGGGTATAAATGTGGGCATTTAAGGCACATTGGTGTGGTGGTGTTTGGACGTACCGTGTCGACTGTCACCTGTATCGTCTTCGATGATGCCGTCTAAACGCCACGAGAACCGCGCAAGCGTCATTCCGCAAACGAGTACTTATAACAGCAACAACGGCGATCCCACGGCGAGGCACTACACCGATCACGGAGCTAAGTAAATATTCTTGATGCGATCGGATTGAATGTATCATACCAACTCGCTGTGGAACCATTAAATAATGCGAGAGATCCTATGCAAGTAGGCAACCCAAGGTTCAAGCTCAAGCTGTACAAGGGTGTAGCCGCCGCCCGGATCTTGGCACCCAATCAAACGGAACTTGTTATCTCTTGGTCGATAAGAAGTCCGAGAGCACAGGCCACTTACGTTGTGGGTGAGGCAGTGTTGACGCGTTGACGTTGACCGCTCAAACCAAGTACTTTGAAGTCATTACAGCAACGATAGACGGGCCCCTCGCGCGAAAATCAGCACACAGCCGATTCGGGCGGAGTTCAGCCGCACAAGGCGCTTAGAGGGACGCGTGCGCAGGAGACGTGTCGGAAGAGCGACGCGGACAAACAGTTGCCGGACCAGACGCCCCGTGATCGAACTCCGCCCGAATCGGCTGTGTCTATCGTTATGTATGGATCCAGCTCACCACGGGCAGCAGGCTTCGGAGCTCGAACATGCTTAGAAAAGGCCTGTCAAAGGCGTCTTTTCTGCCGCCTTTTATGCACGTGTGACAAAGGCACTAAAACGGAGGAGAAGTCACCTGGGCTAAAAAGAATGTCGTTAATAGTGAAAAACTTTTGTTTTACGGGGTGGAGAAAAGCGTCGATAAATACTCATTTCCATAACATGTGTTATCAAACGTACTTACGTGCTTGTTACCCGCCGGCAACAGCCCAGGAGCGGACCAGTTGACCGCAGCAACCGGAGGTGGTGGCGGGTGCGCAATGGATCGGAGTTCCTGCAGCGGCTTCACGCGTAACAGGACTTCAACGCATTCCTGGACAAGACACGATGTGCACCGCCGCGTTTCGGGTGCCCGAAAATACGCAAAAAATCACTCACAAGTGCATTTTTGGGACGCTTCACAACGAAAGCCTTCAAAATATTTTTTCGGGCACCGGAGACGCGGTGGTGCGCATTGTGAGAAGGGGAGCGCGTTCACATTCGCGGACGCCCCATAATGAGACCGACACAAAAGGCGACGACAACTCGAAGACAGACTCATTAGACGGCGCAATGCAGACGCGTCTTGAATGGCCCTTTGTACAATCAGCTGCCGCATCTACGCTCAGTGAGCGGGATACAATGTTTAAGAACTGCAGGAACACGATTTTAGACGGGCACAGTGGCACAGCTCAGATGAGGTCAAGGCTGAGCGCTGGAGGCCGATAGGTGAACAACGAACCCGACTTTGGTATGCTTCTGACAGTTCGCAGAACAAATATCGAGGTAGAACGGAGAGGGTATAGAACATCAGACTCACCATGAATTCCCGTATGCAGCACACCAAAAACTTGACCGCCCCCCATTGTGTTGATGAAACGCGAGTGCAGACTTAGGGTCAAACGGGAAGAGCCTTGGAATATAAAATTACCCGTCAAGGACGACATGGAGGAGGGACCTGCACAAAAAGAGAGCGCTGAATGCGTGCATGCGTTCCCAAGTGGATGCAGCTCGCCGCTGGGGCTTCAATGGCTCGCATGGGCCCCTGTACTACTAGCATAAAATGGGGTGTATACAGTCCAACGCTCACAGTACTAGTACTCGACCGTTTAGGCCCTGGTCTTGGACACTCCCCTACACTGCTCGTCTCCGACCAACTGCAGGTATGATATCTTCACTGAGGGCAGTCCAGTACGTTTGCGATATGCGTGGGTTCGTATAGGCTCTCGGGGATGAAGTGGGGGTTCCGGGTGGGAGAGTTGATGAAGAGGTCAGAAGACAAGTCGCCTGGTCTCGAAGCGCCGATACCCCTTCCCCCCTACCACCACCACACCCGAATCTTTCCTCGTTCGACGACGCCATCTTCTCCCTGTCTCTTGCCCCCAGGTCACCTCAGCTATAACGGCTAAAGACCGCTCGTCACGACAGGTATGTGTTTGCGTCCCTGTTTGATCTACTGGCCAAATTTCGAACTCCCTCCCTCAGACACCGCACTTCCGGATCTTGTTCGGCGCGCTAGGAGAACCCCGGGCGGATTTTTGATAACTTTGGGGTGCGTATAGTGAGCCTCATTTGAAGAGGTGAGCACAACACCATTTCATCGCCGGCGGAGGTGGCATACGACCCAGTCCGTTCACAGCATACCTCCCACAATGGCGACACGACACTCTCGTTCGGCAAGCATTCCTATCCCCCCAACCTCCGTTGCGCGAAACCTGGAGAGTGTAATCCCGCTGTCGTTCAACCCCAGTGCTCCCGCTCGACCCCGGCTTTCCAGCATCGGTACGTCGGCAAGCCCCATCTTCGCCCATCCCACCACTTCCCCCGCTCGATCGGTGTCTATGAGCTACGCCTCTGCCATTGCAACTTCTCCGAGAGGTCGCCCTACTGGACCTTCTCAAGCCTCCCCGACGCCCCTCTTTGAGCCCCGCATTATACGCGCCGCTCCCTCCCCCAACCCCTCTCGCGACGCGGCCTGCAATCCGGCTTCGGCTTCGCCAACGCACACGCGCCGCCTCAGCTCCGGCATCCGCGCCCATACCCCACACGGTCCCACCGCGCCTGCGCATCGTACACCCTCCAGTACTACCGTGGGCCATGTTCTCCCTCAAGGCTTCCCACGACCGGCATACCTTGAGTCGTCATCCTTGCGCAGCATGCTCTACACGGAGGCCCCCCCGCATGTTTTGGGAGCGGGATCCAGACCAGCCCGATTCCCAGTCACCGCCCACGATTCACGATCAAGTGCAAGTCCGGCCCCGCCTGTCATTCCCTACCCTTACCTCGGCCGCGAGCTCACACCCGTCGTTGACAGTGACGATGAGAGTCTCACGACGTCGCCCCCTCCGACTGTAGGCGGGGTTACGATGATCAGCACCAATACCGTCCTCATGCTCCCTACCCGTTGGAGCGAGCAAGAACGCGCCCCCTCCCTCAGCGTCTCCCTCGATGGACGCGGGTTGACCTTCACTGGACCTTCTTGCATGGGCGACCGAGAGGCTGGCGCGGCTCGAGCGAATCACGCCATTCCGCCGGCGTGTGGCATCTACTACTATGAGCTGGAGATTCTTCACCACTGTCCGCAAGGGTGAGTCAGTCGCCGCACCGCCCCTATTCTATCCCTTACGCTGTCACGACAGGCCCATCAGCGTAGGGTGCGTGTAGAGCCGCCCAGGCCGGGCGAGAAGCTGATGTATGTGCAGGTTCTCGGCGCCAGAGATCCGAACGAACCGCCTCCCAGGCTGGGAGCAGAACACCTGGGGATACCACGCAGAGGACGGCTGCTCGTATGCGGGCCAGAGGGAGGGGCATCCGTACGGTCCGAAGTTCGACAGTGAGTGCTTCCTTGCTCTGTCGCGCGAAGGACGATCACGAAGGGCCGTCGGCAGCGGGCGACGTCATTGGCTGTGGGATTGACTTCAGTTGCAACCGCGTGTTCTATACCAAGAACGGCGGTTTCCTGGGTGCGTGACCTGCAAAGTCTCCCCTCTCTCGTTACCATCGCTCACGCGACCCGGATGGATCACAGGGATGGTATTTGAGAACGTGGGGAAGAACACCGAACTGTACCCATGCATCGGCATGCGGCAGTCCAACGAGTCCGTCCGCGCGAACTTTGGCAGCGAGCCCTTCAAGTTCGCGATCGAAGAACACATCCGCGCCCAACGCGACTCTGTGTGGGACGGAATCATGGAGACCCCCATCGACTGGAGCCTCCTCGGACTCAGACCGCGCCGCGACGACAGGCGGAAGCCGGCGAGCTCCGCGAAGACGGTCGAGAAGGCTGTCGTCGACGACGAAGATTCCCGGGCGCCGCTGCGCAAGCTGGTGCTTGCCTACCTCGCTCACCACGGCTACGCGCGCACTGCCCGCGCTTTCCAGGCGCAATGCGCGGACCGTGCCAGGGCTGCTGCCGAACACCCTCATCTGCAACCACAGCCGAAGGAAGTCGACGAGGACGTGAAGATGGCATTCGACGACGCGCCGGCGGTCGCGAGCGCCCCAGACCCGTCGCGCGCGGCTGGCGAGGGCGACCTCAGCTTCGATTACGACCTCAACACGCGCCTGTCAATCACGAACGCCATCATCCGCGGGGAGATCGACAGCGCACTGGCCCTGATCCGCGTGCATCACTCGACCGTTCTCGAGCGCGAGCAGGGCCTGATCCTCTTCCGCCTGCGCTGCCGCAAGTTCGTGGAGCTCGTCCTCGCCGCCTGCGAGGCCACACGGCAGGTCGACGCAGAACGGGCGCGGGTCGCCGCGCTCTCCCCTGCGGCCTCCCCGCCACCCATGCTTGACGGCGAAGACGTGGTGGGGCCGATGGATGGAGTGGGCGCGATGGACGTGGACGAACCATCGCCCGAGGCCCACCCCGCGCCGTCCACGGCGACGGCTGTCCCGACCGCGTTCCCCTCCGCCCCATCCCCGTCCGCGTCCGGTGTCGCACCGCCGTCGGGGCTGACGCTGTCGGCGCCGTCGCCCCCACCCGCGCCGACGCCTGCGCACACGAACCTCGCGACGCTCGCCGCGGCCGCGCGCGCGTCGCTCAACGCGGCGCTCGCGTACGGCCAGACGCTCGACGCGGACTACAAGAAGGACACGCGGACGGGGATCCGCGCGCACCTCCACCGCACGTTCGGCGTCGTCGCGTACGACGACCCGATCGCGGCCGGCGGGGAGGTCGCGGAGACCGCGGGGCAGGCCGCGCGCAACGCGCTTGCGGCAGAGGTCAACCAGGCCATTCTTGGTGCGTGGTCTCTCGGAGATGTTTTGCTTGCCTGCTCATTTGTGCGCCTGCAGAATCTCAGGGGCGTCCGGCCCACCCGGCGCTGGAGACGCTGTTCCGCCAGGCAAGCGCGTGCGTGACGCAGCTCGCGCTCCTCGGCGTCGGCGCGGCTGCGTTTGCAGACGTGCGCAAGGAGTTCGTGGAGGGGTGAAAGACGGGAAGAAGCATCCGTTTGGCAAACTATGTACACTAGCTGTAAGTTCTTGTCGCGCCGCTGAGGTGATGTGAGCGGCGTGGATCCCCTATTTCTTGCTCTCTCTCGCTCGAATCTGTATTGACCCCCTCGTTGTACTATTAGGCAGCTGTATGTACTTACTCTGAAATCTGAAGTCGCATTGAACATTTCCCTCAATGGCGTGCGGATCTTGTGTCAGGGGTTGACGTGTAACGCAGCTGCCGCTGCGGCGACATTCCTTCCAGCTCCTGACGGTGATTCTTCCACAGATAAAACCTATCTTCAGTAGGCGGCGGTGTCCCAACGTTCACCCTCATATACACTGCGCCGGATAAGGAAGTGTCTTTGGTCTTCACGTATGTCCTGATTTGTAGTGCCAGCAGATCTGAGCGAGGCTAACGTCGGTGACATCAGTATGTCCGAATCACCGTTCACAAACGAGTCTAATACTCCCCTTGTCGTCGCGCCGGCCCCTTTCAACAAAGATTCCACGGACCTCATCTTACACACTGCGGACAACGTAGCATTTCACGTATGGAAGGTAATCCTCATCGAAGCGTCTCCCGTCTTCGGCGACATGATCGCGCTAGGCAACACACCACACACCGCGTCTGACGAAGCGACGCCCGACGGCGCCCACCCTCCCGCCGTGCAGCTGACGGAGACCAGTGCGGCCCTGGAGCCGTTCCTCCGCATGTGTTACCCTCCTTCCCACCCCCCCGTCTCCTTTTCCCAGCTCGACACCCTCCGCTCCGTCATCGAGGTCGCCCACAAGTACCAAGCCGACGGCGTCCTCCAGGTGCTGAAGAACCTCCTCGTGGAGACGTTCTCCCCCGCCGAGCCCCTCCGCGTCTCCGCCATCGCCGTGCGCCTCGAGATGGCGGACGTCGTGGAGGCGTCCGCGCGCGACTTCCTCGCGATCCCCGCCTTCGGGCCGTACAGCGGGGAGCTCGAGGACGTGAGCGCGGGCGCGTACCACCGCCTGCTCGCCTACCGCAGCGAGTGCCACGACGCCCTGGAGGAGATGGTCGAGAGCAAGCTCGCGTGGCTCGCGGACGACACCTGGCGGTTTCGGGTGTCCTGCACGAGCTGCGCGGCGTCGCCGGTCACGTGCAGCATCCCCGACTCGACCGCGGTGTTCGTCCCGCGGGCGTGGTTCTGGCACCACCGCAACCGCATGGCGGAGCGGCTGAAGGGGCGCCCGTGCGGCGCCGCGCTCGAGAGCGCGAGCGTGCTGGAGCGGGGGATAGTGTTGCCGTGGAGTGGAGCTGGAGTACTCCGGAGCGATAGCCGGTGTCACTCCACGCCACTCCGCTGTCACTCCAGTGTACTCCGGAGTACCAGCTGCAGATTATATCACCACCCTTCAATATCTTATCAGCGCGCCTGGCATTGAACACGGGTCTAGTGCCACTGTTCCTTTACTGACCGGGGAAAGACGGCAAACCTCCACTTGATGTACCCAGGCCAGTCTGGACTTCAGGCTTGAGAATGTAGTCTGACCATATCCTATCTGACACCAGACGCATATGAGGTCGGAAACATATGTGAATCCCCAGTGACGGTGCCTTTACAGAGCCAACCCGTTGGCCGGTAGTCATATAATACACGTGAGGGGGTATTGCAAAGCGTTGTTGGCACAGTGGTATGGACACCTCGTTCTTGTTTTTGATTTGCTAGGGTGCGGGGTTCTATTCCTTGTGTCGCCACTTTCGCATTTCCCCCCTCCAGAATGTCCTATTTTGGTCTCCTGTGGCACATCTGCTAAATCTAGTCACTCCTTTCAGTGGCAGAAACATTAGTAGAGTAAATATGCGGTTTGACTGAGGCTTCACAGAGGAGGCGAAAAAAACGGGTGGAGACGGGATAGAACCCCACGACAAAAGCCGTGGCACACGCTGATACCACTGCACCAAATGATCTTTGCTGTGACTGTCCATATGTAATATATGACTACGGAGCGCCATTGGGAAAGGATAGCTGGGATTTACTCTGGCTGGTCTGATCAGTGGAGTGACGTGGAGTTTCCCAGGAGTCGGTGGCGTGATTGCCGAGTGACTGGAGTGACTGCGCCTCCGGAGTCACTCCAACTCCACGGCAACACTAGCGGGGGATCGTGGAGGCGTCTTCGTGCGGCTTGTGCAGGGCGATCGTTCCGGAGATGCTTCGTGCCTTCAACGACCGATTGCGGGAGGAAGTCGACCGCCGCATCGACGAGGTGGGTTTGCCATGCTGCTCAGGGCCGCGTGGAGTCGCTGACGCGGTCGCACGCAGATCCCAGTACCCCAAATCGATCCTCCCATATGATGATATGGCTACAGCCGCAGTGTGGTCATGAGGAAGGTCCCGAGAGTTCAGCCGTAGCGATCGCGATGTAGCTGGGGCTCGGGATGGATCCTGATGTGATTTGCATATTGTACATAGAGTGCTTACTATAGTGAGCCGCCAAGGATACCTCGACCGACAACCCTGCATGCTGTATGCGCATTGCGTTTATGGGCCAGATTCTGGGATGATATACATTTGATGCGACGACTTATGCTACAGCGCATGTAGTGCAGTGACGACTCACAGAGACACGGCCCCGACGACCTGGACGTACACCGCCGCGGCCGCGAGCCCCAGCGCAAACGCAACGACCCACTCCTGCACCCTCTGCCTGTCCACCTTCGCGGCGCCCGCCCCCCGCCCGTCCGATCCGACGTTCGAGACCCCGTTCCCGCTGGCCCCGGCGGCGACGGCGTCCGCCTTCCCCATCCCCTCGCCCGTGACGGGGACCCTCTCCGCGTTCGGTGCATCGCGCAGCGCCTGGATGCCGTCGATGCTCTGCAGGTTCTTCTTCGCCCAGTACGCCTTGAGGCTGCCGTCCGCGAAGTCGTCCGCCGCCTCCTGCTTCGCGAAGTAGTCGAGGAGGGCCTGCCGGTGTCCCTGGAACTTGTAGTACGGCACCGCGTACCCACACGACTGGCGGCAGGGCGTGAGGGGGAGGGGCGAGAGGTGGTTGAGGTATACGGAAGACGCACCGAGCCGACTTTGTGCACATCGACAACGATCGCGGCGCGCGAGCCCGGGCGACGCTGCTCGGGCGGGACGAGCCGCTCGTACTCCTTCGTCCCGAACTCGTGTATCGTCCCTGCCCGCACCAGGATCAGCCCCCGCCGTCGCTGGGACAGACGCGCACGACGCACCTGTGCCGAAGAGCCGGACGATCCGCGGCGGGCCCTCGAAGGCGGAGAACATGAGCGTGACCCGCCCGTTCTCGCGCACATGCGCGACCGTCTCCGCGCCGCTCCCGGTGAGGTCCTGGTACCAGACGCGGTGGGCGTCGAGGACGTGGAAGGAGTCGCGGACGCCTTTGGGCGAGACGTTGACGTGCCCGTCCGGAGAGAGGGGGGCGGTGGCGACCCAGAAGAGCTCCTGTTTGAGCAGCCAGGGGACGAGCTCCGGGGGGATGGCGTCGTAGAACTTGCCCATGGTGGGTGAGTGCGTGAATGCGAGACAGCGGTGGACTCTGAGAAGAGGAGTGGGGTGACTCGGCCTTCGGCCGATTAGCTCCTGAGGTCGGACGACTTTGACGGGCGGGCGCGAGCCTACGAGAACAGCTGAGCGGTAGTTACGAGACGATTGACGGTGGGAGAGCAGGTATGACTCACTTGAACGTCTCCGACCGCACGTTGGCTGGGGCGGCAGCGTGATGGTCTCGTGGCAATGGTGCGAGGCATTGAGTTCATAGAAGACCGATTTGAGAGGCAAATAATAGCAAAGATGAAGTACAGATTGTCGCCCATATTGACCAAGTTGCGGATGCGCAAGACAGAGGGCGTACGATAGAAGACGTTCATGGTGGCCACGACCGTAGTGGTATGCTACATGATGTCCAGACGGTGTGTAAGCTCTGCATCGTGTTGTAGGACGTCGGTGCTGCGCTTTGTGTGTCGTGCCGGAGGACGGTGGTGTGGGCCAGAGTGGAGGCGTGGTATGCGCCAGTAGTACGTGGCGACAAGCATAGATGATGAATGAATTAATGAAGACGGATGGATGGAAGATGAAAAGGAGTTGTGTATTCCGCTGCCCAGTCGAGGCTTGCCAGGGCTTGTCTCGCCACAGCGGCGGCTCGACCCGGGCCGAACGCCTCGGCTCAATCCACGCCCTCTGATTGGTCCACTGATACCCCACGGCTGATGTAACCCAACGGCCCCGACTCGGACTTGTCTCGGCCCTGTCTCTCCCGACTTTCCTCTGTTGCCCGTGGCCTGACCTTGTCCTCCCTCCTTGTTCACGACAACGACATCGACGTGCAGATGGCCTCTACACTCGCTCGCCTGCAACGTGCCCATGCCCAATCTCTCCTCGCTGGCCCCTCCTCCTTGCGCACCCTCGTATACCTGCCCAGTCACCGTCATGCCATGATGTCCGCCCTCTCCCACTCCCCCCGACCCGCTCCCCCTCCCTCAACTTCAGCGACATCCTCGACAGCTTCCACCTCGTCCTCCACTCCCTCTGCGCCGCTGCTGGGAGAGACCCCACCCGTAGTGGTCCCTTCTACCACCTCCAAGCCCCCAAGAGCCCAGAACCTCTCCCCAGAAGCTTCGTCGCCCCAAGTCGCCGCACGACCCCCACCCGCGCCTAAGGCCGAGCGCGCACGGCCAAAGATCCGCGCTGCGAAGGCCGCGATCTCCCTCGTACGTCCACCCTCCGTCCTGTTGAGCGCATATACCAACCCCACCGTTCCGCTAGACACCAACTGCGGTCGAACGGCTCCAGAACCTCCTCAAGAGCCCGACGCCCCAGATGATCCGCATTGGGGTGCGGAACAAGGGCTGCGCGGGACTCTCGTACCACCTCGAGTACGTGGAGAAGCCGTCCAAGTTCGACGAGGTCGTCGAGCAGGACGGCGTCAAGGTCATCATCGACAGCAAAGCGCTCTTTTCGATCATCGGAAGCGAGATGGACTGGCAGGAGGATGGGCTGAGGTGCGTATATGCGGTGTTCTCGTCGCGTTCTCGCGCTCATCTCGTCCACTCGTGCGTAGCGCCAAGTTCGCGTTCAACAACCCGAACGTCAAGGACGCCTGTGGATGTGGCGAGTCCTTCACCGTCGGCTCGTAGTCCCTGGACTCTTCGACGCCTGCTCAGACGATACCCTTGGACACGTATGAATTTTGACACTATTCCTGGCCATATTGCGTGCCCCTCGCGCTACACGCTAATCTCCGCCGTACACTAGCCATTGTATCCATAGTGCATTCAATAGATGCCTCTTCACACTCATTGCCCATTGACAATGTTTGGATGGAACGCAGGCGCACTCGGTCAGCATCAAGCGCATGAGTCAGACGAACATCGCTGACGTGTCAAGATTGCCATGGAACTCGGTCCACCAAACATCATGAGAGTGCTCGCTGTGTGCGTCGAGGCGTCGTGATCCCCCTGAACAATTGGGGCTGTCGCAGCTTTGCGGAGCGGGGTCATACAGAGCCTGAAGCGACTGTTGGCCGGTATATATGGAACGTACGTCACTGCTCTCGCTTCTATCCATTGAACTCCCACCGATATCGCCTTCGCTGCTCGCAGTGCAGTGGCGTTGGACTCGTGCATGGCCACGTTGACCAAGATTCAGTACTCAGGCTTCAAGACTAAGTAGCACGCTGACAGACATACGTCCAGTTTCGATACGCTCTTGCGTTTTCTGGAGCTGACTGTGATTTCTAGAACCTCTTGGTGAGATACTTAGCTTATCGAGAAAGAAGGTTTGGGACGGTGGTCAAATGGGGATACTCTGGATTCCCGGGCACTACTAGCGGCGCTAGTGCGCTGGGGCTGAAGTCATCCTCCTTCTCCGATCGACTCGTGCGCCTGTGCTCCTTGTTCCCGTACGTGCATCACCCAGGGCTGCTTTCACGTTCCCTAACACTGCTGCGCTACTGACGTCGTCCCCAGTGCCTACTCGACTTTCAAAGACCACAGAATACAACCATGGTTCAATTCTGGGACCACATTCCCGACAACCTCATCGCCTGGATCGAAAAGCAGCACATGTTCTTCGTCGCCACCTCCCCGCTCACCGGCGACGGGCACGTCAACGTCTCCCCAAAGGGCCTCACCGGCTCCTTCCACGTCGCGAACAAGAACCGCGTATGGTACGAAGACCTGAGCGGCAGCGGTGCGCTCTCGTCCCAACTCCACCCTCATCGCCCCCCGCTGACACGACCGTACCAGGTGTCGAGACGATCGCGCACGTCCGGGAGAACGGGCGGATCACGGTCATGTTCTGCGCCTTCGCCGGCCCCGCGCGCATCCTCCGCCTCTTCGGGCGCGGGACCGTGCACGAGTTCGGCACGGCCGAGTATGACGCGCTCGTGCCGCCCGCGACGCGCCTCAGCGGCTCGCGCGCCGCGGTCGTCGTGGACGTGTACAAGATCAGCACGGTGCGCCGCCTTCCCTTCCTTTCCCTTCCTTCTCCCTCCTGCCTCCTGCCCCCCTGCCCCTCCTCCCCGTGTCGTCCTTCCCTGTTCTTGCGTCTGCCCGCGCGGTGCTGACGCGGTGATGCGCCGGACAGTCGTGCGGGTACGCGGTGCCGGTGATGGACTACAAGGCGGACCGACGCGCGCTCCTGCAGTGGTCGGACAAGCTCGAGCGGCTGGACGCCCAGTTCGCGGCGGACCGGACGAGCTGCCCGAGCGAGGCGGTCTCGTTCGCGCTCGACCCGGAAGACGAAGACGAAGGGAGCGGCGGCGGCGGGGAGTCGCCGGACGCGTCCGCCCCGCCGCCGACGCTCCCGTCCCCCACCGAGCGCGAACCGAGGCGGACGTCGGCGGTGCTCCCGGTGCGGAGCCTGAAGTGGTGGTGGGCGGCGCACAACACGCGCTCGCTCGACGGGCTCCCCGGCCTGCACCGCGCGCACGTCGTGGACCGCGTCCCGCGCGGGGTCGTGCGGGCGGGCAGGGACGAGCCGCCGAGCGACGGGACGGTCGTGATCCTGGGGAACAGGGTCCCGAAGGCGGGGCTGGGGCAGCGCGCGGGGGCGTGGGTGCTGGCTGTGGGCGGGGTGGAGAGGGAGGAGGTCGGGCGGATGATGCTCGCGTTCTCGGTGGGCGTGCTCATAGCGGCGGTGTGGGTGCGGGTGGTGGGTGGGGCGGGGTGCTGAGAGGATGAGTCCGTGGGCTCGGGTTGAAGGAGCAGGTGTGCCCCTTGTAAGTCAGATACGCGTACCGAAGCGCAGACCTGTATGATTTCTCCTCTGACTCGTCTTTCAAGTGTAATCAATAGACAGAGCCATCAAGCTTTCAAGTCCAACGATGTGGTCGAGACTTGAGCTTGAGAACGAGTCGGAGCCAGGGCGCTTCTTTGAGGCTGAAGACGGGACCGGCCCGGTCAACGTCGGATCTCGGCCGCGTGTTCGAATCCGTTGCATCCAACGCCGCGAGACGAACACCGAGGTTATTGTGCGCGCTCGGAGGGCGTTGTCGGCGCGCCGAGACGAGGCGGCGGTGGCGTTTGCTTTGGTGGAGCTTACGGGTTCTTGAAGGTCACGACGTCGCTGCTTCCGCCATTTCCGGCTTCGAAGGCACAGGTAACAGAGAATGTGCGTACGCGGGCCTGCGCGAGGCCGAGGCCCAAGTGAAGCGAGTTAAGCTGGAACGACGCCCCCGGGCCCTTGACATGTTTGACGACGCACATTGAAAGAGCGTTAACTCAGTCAACATCATTATTCGCACTCGATACGGAACGACCCGGATTAGCAAGTAATATGGGCCATATCCAAACCATAATCCAAATAACCGTGTGTAATGGCCGAACGGCACGTGCGGAGAATCTCATCTAAGTTCGTTTCGGGTCGTGATTCAATATCGTGTCCCTGCGCAATGGCAGTGCTCGCAGGGTGGTGTCTTCGACGTCGCCTACCCGGAGTTCTGGACCTGGACGTACCACTGCTGGTCGGCAGCGACGCACAGACCCCCGTGGGCGTTGTTCGCGGAGTTGCAGTCGCTAGAGAGCCAGGTGACGAGGGAAGCCTGACGCACGGACGGTCAGCACTCTCGGACGCGACAGATGCGACGGCTACGTACCCAGTCTTGGCGGCAGTACGTGAGAGTGGCGGTCGCGTTCTGGGTGAGGAAGTACGTGGTGCACGAGTGGTACTTCATCGTGATCTTGTCCGACGCGGTCTGCTCGCAGCGCGCGTGGTCAGCTGCGCTCAAAAGCCGGAACGAGACGAGGCGCGTACCCCGGCGGCGGTCGCGTTGAACGTCGCGGACTCGTTTTCGCTGTCGTAGAGGATGGCGTCTGCGATGACCTTGCAGTCGTCCTCGTTGGGGCCTCCGCCGGAGGGGCTGAAGCAGAAGGTGTTGCCTGTGGGGATCCCGGGTCAGCACTCGTGCAATGACGGGATGTAGTTTGAAGGACTCACACGACGCGCTGCAGACGTTGTTGACCGGTGCATCAGGGACGGCGGCGACGTCGTTCGCCTCCACCTTGGACGTCGATGTCTCGCAGTGCGAGTGGGTCATCTGGACGTCCTTGCCCTTGCCGATGAAAGTCTCCGAGACGATGGTCTCGGACTGGCACTCGATGGCGCCGGAGGCTCCAACGGTGACGGCGGAGCTGGACGCGACGAACGCGGCGAGGACGGGGAGGAGGGCGAAGAGCTGCATGACGACAGAGGGAAAAGTCGAGTGGGGGAGTGAAGCGACGTTGAGCGGAGAGAAGGAAGGTGAAATGAGTCCCGGATCGCAGGCCAAAGGAACGATGGAGGCCAAGGCAAAAAAAGAGGACTTCTTATACCTGCGCAGGAGACGCTGAACCTCAGCGGGAATCCGGGATCGGGTTATGGTTGCGGCGTTCTGCAACGTTGACCGTTGGCGGCTCGTCTCGGCTCGATGCTTTCGGGACCCGCTCCGAGAAGTACTTACAGGGATGACCCCATCTTCGTCCTCCAACTCACATTTAGCAAGGGACAGCCGACGAAGAGCGGTGCCGACGCAGCGGAGAATTTGGTGACACAGCGTCTTCTCCCGAGCGGGAAGGTCTGCCCGTATGTGTGACCGCTGGCCCCGTTCATCAGTCACCTAAGGCACCGCTTCTAAGTTGCTAGGATGCGCGTACCTACTATGGGGGGGGGGGGGGGCACACCTGTGGTTGTCAATTCGACCTGGATGATTCCTTCGAGCAATGTGCGGTATTGAGCAAGCTAGCCCTTCATCGTGTTTTGGTTAGCGTTCCTCCGGAAACCTAGTGATGCTCCTGGCTAGACGTCGACGGACCTTGTGTAGAACATGCAATTTCTTGCCCAAAGGGTGTTCACATCGGCCTTCGAACACCGGCCAACGTTTGAGCACTCGGTGGATGGACTCGAGCCGGTTTTGATTGTCGGCTCACAGAAAGAATCAAACTCGGCCTCGTGTAAGAGCTTGGCAAGTCTTGAAGTGAATCAAACTCGCCTAAGAACCGAGCTGCGAGGAAACCTCGAGTGTGTCGAATGATCGGCATGGCCGAACGTGCCCAGAGAGTTCGAAATTGTGGTAAATTTTCAAGAACGTTTGCCGGACTCCGAAGACGCAGCGTGAAAACAGACCAGGGTGCACATCTGACGGCGAAGAGATGCTTATCAAAATTTATATCTGCTATAATGACAGCATAAACCGTTGAGCCCCCGAGAGCAGGACGGTCACCCGAAGGACGTTGACGAGAAAACCTATGATTGGGGAGGACGTGACGGGCACCTATTCCGGCAGGGGTATCATATTCCATCACCCGCCCCACATTGGTGCGTCGACCGGGGTCGTGCCGTACTTACGGTGTGCGCGAACTACGAGGCGGAACGCCTCCGTGATGATGAAAGGCATCCAAACGTGCCTGGAGTATACATCAGTCTCACTGTCGGTTCGAGTTTTGATATTGTACGGCTTACTTACCTTGTCGGACCAGTGCGAAGACTTAGACACCGGGCTCAAGAGACCATAAAGTGAGACACAGAGAAACACTCAGGGTTGAAGTAGATGCCCGGGCTAAGCTGGCGAGCTCATTGACGTGGCCAGGCCTAGAAGGCGTGGCACAGGCTAATGCGGTCAGCGTTGAATAGACCACATGGGTTGTGCCAGGACGTACAGCGAGTGGGCAGAGTGGCCGACAAGGCCAAGCCAGTGGTCTCCGAATTCACCGTCGTGGGTCTCAGCCAGGGCCACGCGGCGGATACTTACGCGTGTCGTCGCGGTAGTCATAGATGCTTTTTACGGGGCGCATATCTTCCAGGAATCGATTCGAGGACAAACAACAAGGACCATTCGGTCAGCGCGGGGATGCCCTTGACCTTGCTCACCCAGGAGGCGCAGACCGGTGCGAAGGCGTAAGCGGGGGTATTGTTCTTGGGCAAGCAAAAGCGGCGATGTGTTTGTTTGCAAAGCGAGTCAAAGCGAGTGGTCTCGGGGAACACAGCATCGGCCAGGCACACTGGAACAATGGGGAATTTACAGGCTCCGCTATGGACACTTTTACAACTCCGATGGTAATCGGCTAGCGTAGTTAAAAGTTAATGTTACCTTATATATCGGAGATTAAAACTTGTGTGAGCGCGGAGCGCCGTGTGAAATTTACTGATGCACGAGGACAATAGC